ATTGTTTAGTAAGGGGCCGTCCGGGGTTACCGATTGTTTTTACGAAACGAAAAGTTTTAGTATTTTTCAGCCCCCACCCACCATACCCACCCACCCACCTTTTCTGCAGGTAATACGAATTCCAGTAAAATATTGATGTCAATTTTCGGTACCCAGAAGTTACTGGGCATTCTTCATCTGCATTCAATAATTATTTTCAAAACGAAACTCCATTAAACCCACCCACCCCCAAACGAAAACTTTTCGTTTTGAAAATATGATTGGTAACCTTGGACGGCCCCTAACTGGTGGTGTTAGTGGACAGTATAGCGTAACTTGTAGTTCCTTGGTCGTTCTTTTTTGTATAAATTAAACCTTGGCTCTCCATCTGAGTCCAATAACAATGATAATAATAATACTAATAATAACCCAGACTCCTGCTCTCTACGTGATTTCTCTACATTTCATGTAGAGCAGAATAGCAGAACCTATCTACTATCTTAGGGGTCGTCGCAAAAGCTTTCTGTCGTCCCTGAAACGAGCATCGTTCATTTCGTAGTTGGACCCCCCCCCCCTCCCTCTGAAACGAACACAGCTTGCTACGCTAGAGGACGAAAATCGCATGCATGTACATATATATTATATGGACATGTCGGTCGACTTGCGATTTTGGCTCGCACCCCTCCCCCCCCCCCCCCCCCCATGAATCATGTTCGTTTCAGGGACGACAAAAAACTTTTGCGACGACCCCTTGTGGGACTGTCATTCAATAAAACTGTGAACGGTACCATTCGGCATACCGTGATACAACAAACTCTCATCATTCTGTAGTCGAAACATCAGATTCTATGTTCTCGACCGATAGGCATTACCAAGAGCACTCTTAAATCTTGTCGTTACTGTATTTTCCATATTTGGCGTGCAGCTCGTGTGCATGAAGGTAGATTTCGGCTCCGTTGTAAAATTTGTAGCGGACTTGACATTCGAGCAAAACTAAATCCACTTATAGGGAACCCTTGATCAATATCGTAGCGCCATTGCAGGGCAATGCAGGCGCAAGGCATTGGTTTGTATCAAGAGTGCATTTAAATAACCTGTTTATGGTTTCTTGCTTGTATGCATTCCCATTTATGCATTTTACCGCATGTCAGCGCCTTTAAAGCCAGGGTCTTATATTCGAAACACCGCTGCTTTCCTAGATATTTTAGATGCAAAATTACTCACCCACTACGCCATGCCATAAAAGTCAAAGTCCACACAGAAATTTCAATATAAATCTACTTCTTCACCCTTCCTGCGGGGCTGTTAGCATAGTACGTATGTAGTATCCCTGCATGGCTAATACGGAAGTAATACGGAGCTAATACGGAACTTTACCTGATGTGTATCTCCGTTTATACTGAGCTTGTATACAAACTCCCATCTCTCCCCACACAACACTCCAGACTTGTATTTTGCATATAACAGGTACTTCGATGACGAGAATATAAACTGGTATATAAACTGGTATATAAACTGGTGTATAAACTGGTATATAAACTCCTTTTTTTTTAGGATTACACTAGTGACCTGCAGTCCGCCTTGATGGTTTTTCGACATGCACGACGGTCCCAACTTCAGGATCTCTTTCTCGTCAACGATGAAGAATACAACGTCGTCCTTTCAAAGTTTGTAACATGTGCCTTGTGCTGCACCTGGCGTTCGAGGCTGTCCTTCTTTCGCTGTTTCAGCACTCCGTCTGTCAAGCGCAGCACTCGACATGTGCGGCTGAAGAGCCCCGCGTGCCGCTCCTCCTGCGTTTTTGCATGGACATAGAATGCAGATAGCAGGGGCGACGGAACTTCACTACTGATGGTTTTCCAATCGATGTTCTCCTTTCCGCGTCCCTCGCAGAGCGGACGGAACATGCGCAGCCATAATCCGTGGCACTGCCAGTGTTCTTAGAAACTGCTGCTTGAATAATGGCATCGTGATTCGTGGTCGTCCTCAGAAGAAACGTTTGGGAGTCGATTCAACAGGCTCGTGCTGATTCATTTTACTCTTACTTTGGAAAGGAGACGAACTCTATGTCTCTAAAGTCTAATGAGCAAACGGTTCTTTTACAGAGCCCGCGGTGAGATCTGCGCGCGTTAACGGTCACTAGCACTGTGAGGTTCAAACTAACTTACTTGGCGCATAGCTGTTACTTCCGATGTAACTAGTACTTCAGTACTAAACTGAAGTCACAAAGAGTGTGTGATGGTACTGCACTAGCACTGCATGCACTGCACAGAGTCAGTGGTAGTCTTGTACTTGATCCGCACAGGTTGGTAAAAGGAAGACTCGTCGAGCCATGGTTGTGGGTTGGAATTCCAATCTCTACCCTTGTGGGGGAGAGGGGAGTTTGTATATCAGCTCAGTATAAGCATAATATAACCTACTCAGTTGATTATATGGGAAATATAAACCAATATACAAACCTCGGCTTCGCCTCGGTTTGTATACAGGTTTATATTTCCCATATAATCAACTGGTTAGGTTATATTATATACATGTAAGTGTACGGCGTCTGTTGCATAAAGCCTAGTTCACGTTCGACGCAACGCCGACGGTACGGGACGTAAGGGCTTGTCGGGAGGGCTGGGGTGAGCTGTAAAGCCTAGTTCACATTCGACGGGGCGCGACGGGACGCGACGTGAGGATCGACGGGAAGCGACGGGACGGTCTGACGGCGTCCAATGTGAACACCAGAATCGGGAACGCAACCGTACTACCGTACAGATCGGGAAGCGACGAGAAGAGTTGGATCGATCCAACTTTTCATACCGTAGACGGGGACGCAAGCGTACAAAACGACTGCAATTCGAGTGTGAACAGGAGACGGCGTCGTGCGCCGGCTGCTCCCGATTCGTACTTGGGAGTTTTTAGCATTTCGAACACTGCGCTTCCCATGATAACTCACAGAATGGCTAGCACGACTTGAGTTTAATTTTAGCAACATAAGATCTCATGTCACTTATTGTATTTAGAGATAGTTCAGAAGCGTGACAGACGAACTATTCTATCATTTCCTGGGGCTATTATTTGAATGCCACAACTTTCAGGGCAATTTTTTTGGTCTTCACGAAAAACTGGTATTGTGAACTTGATTCCGCTTCTTTGAAGGAGAAATAATTGAAAAGAAGTCCCGAAAAACGAGAAATAAGGTCCAAAAGTCACCCCGTCACGGACCGTGCCTTATGACTCGCGCCGTTCGACGCTGAACGTCGCAACGACTGCTGCATGTCGTGTCGTACGAATCGTACAGGATTTGCAGCTCACCCCAGCCCTCCCGACAAGCCCTTACGTCCCGTACCGTCGGCGTTGCGTCGAATGTGAACTAGGCTTAAAATCCTGTACGATTCGTACGACACGACATGCAGCAGTCATTGCGACGTTCGACGTCGAACGGCGCGGGTCATAAGGCACGGTCCGTGACGGGGTGACTTTCGGACCTAATTTCTCGTTTTTCGGGACTTCTTTTCAATTATTTCTCCTTCAAAGAAGCGGAATCAAGTTCACAATACCAGTTTTTCATGAAGACTAAAAAATTAGCTCTGAAAGTTGTGGCATTCAAATAATAGCCCCAGGAAATGATAGAATAATTCGTCTGTCACGCTTCTGAACTATCCCTGAATACAATCAGTGACATGAGATCTTATGTTGCTAAAATTCAGCTCAAGTCGTGCTAGCCATTCTGCGAGTTATCATGGGAAGCGCAGTGTTCGAAATGCTAAAAATGTCCAAGTACGAATCGGGAGTAGTCGGCGCATGACGGCGTCTCCTGTTCACACTCGAATTGCAGCCGTTTTGTGCGCTTGCGTCCCCGTCTACGCCCGTCTACGGTATGAAAAGTTGGATCGATCCAACTCTTCCCGTCGCTTCCCGATCTGTACGGTAGTACGGTTGCGTTCCCGTTCCTGGTGTTCACATTGGATGCTGTCAGACCGTCCCGTCGCTTCCCGTCGATCCTTACGTCGCGTCCCGTCGCGCCCCGTCGAATGTGAACTAGGCTTAAAAGCTGCTGCGGATTTCTGTTCCATGAGATTTTATAGTCACGACAAAGCCGAGAAGAAGAAGTATTTAACCTTTAGGTGTGCCCCGGAGAGAAAGTTATTTATTTGCCGCTTCTTCTTTTACTTATATTATATCCAAGGTGTGTACCTGAGAGAACAATAATAAAAGCTTGTGGGTTGATTGCACCGCGCCTACCACTCGGCTACCTGTTACACGTATTCCTTTATTTTTTCAAAATATACTTCAAATGTCATTAATTTTCATTTATGAAGCCTATCAAGAGATCCTCTCGATCGACAGGCCCAGCGCCTTTGGGAAATCCTTAAAAACCGGTAATTTATAATAAAATACAAAAATACTATGGCTTTATAACTGAGACTGGCCGTATAATCGAATATACCCCCCCCCCCCCATGGCTTTAAAGGTGCGTATATACGGTACGAACTCTTCTACATAATTTTATAGGTTAGTGCATGGCAGGGAGGGCCTTATGGCTTGTAGTGCCCGACAGGTTAGCCTGAGGGCCGTAGGCCTGAGTGCATGCTGGGCGAGTCCATGATCTGATCCAGTGCGCAATGCGCATGCCAAATATGCAAAAGAGTTGACGCATGTACAAACTGGGGTACCGAAAGCGTTGGTCCGACGTACGCTGTGCAGATGTGGTACGACCGAGTTCAAGAGTCCATTGTGAATGCGGAAAGCCAGTACGGTAAGTGCTTATTGGTTGCGAAATATGGCTTGCCGATATACGGTGCGCTGTGCAAATATGCACTGCATTATCATGTGACAGCGAGACTCAGGAACTTCACAAAATTGGCTCAAACACACAAAAGAAATCGGTCCAAACATCGGTCGAAACCGAAATTAATCTGAAAGAGTGCAGGAATTTGGCATGTTTCTCAGGATGGAATCCTGCAAACCTTGATTTCCGGGAGACGCAATGCAAAAGCTGGGCTACGCAAGGAGAAGGAAGAGACCACTGACAACAACAGCGTCACTCCTATCTGTACCGGTTGTGAGAACAAGTTTCCCAATCTGTTGGTCTTGAATCTGTTCGCCTTGATTTCCCAACGTGTGTGTGGTGAGTGCTGTTTTCCACGAAGTATCAAGTGCTGGCGATAGTTGTTCAGTCTCTAGCTAAGTCAGTCTCTCTACTCTGCTCGCAGAGCTTTTTTGGATCTCTTTGCGGACTTTGGTCAACGTAGCCTCCGTCGTCTTCCTCCCGGTGAGTTTCTGCTGCTGTGGTTAGTCCCCCTCTCATGGTCTATATCGTACTTGTGCTTCGTTTCAACACGCTACATTTTCTGTTGGCACCATGGCTGTGTGAGCTATGATGCCGGTGTCATTCTTGTATTCCATATGACGTGTGTCGATGTGTTGTCGCTGTCTGCAAGAACTGTCGGCATGTATCTGCGTGTCAGGAAGAGGTTGTAGGCGCACGGGTTCCTGGTCGGCTGGGGTCAGCGAGAATCGTCGAGCAAATTGTTAAAGGGACTCATCCTCCTCTCCATATTGCTCCTTGTAGTAGAGTATAGTGAATTGTGACATTAGGAGTGGAAATTGCTGACACATGTAAACTCCATGCGCCAAACACTACATTGTACCTGTATGAAACTCGTAATCACTTACTATCTAGTACAGTTGTATGTAGTATGTTCAGTTGACTTTCTTGCTTATTTCTTGTCAGAAGATCAGCGCATTGTAGTCACTTGTAATCCAGGGCGTGATGCTGAGGGGGAAATCGTCTCGCCTCGAGGTGCTGTTGTTTAGCTCATAAGCACAAACTTTTGCTGCATCTCAGCATGATCTCACGCAGGTTCACGTGGCTATTTCCCCGTATCACCAAGGTTTTTTTCTTCGGGTGCGCATTGCTGCTTGTTGTACAAAAGACGAAACACGCACACAAATTTCTCTTCATCGCCTCGGTGATTCAGTTAAACAGGAACTAGGCCCAATAACATAAAGGCTTTCCATGCTTCACTTCGTTGTGAGAGTGGTTTTATGGAGGTGCACACTCTGGTTTATGTACTCTTGCTTGAAATGTTTATAGACGATTTTTGTAGATTTCAAATCTTTACCAGTGGCAGTGGGGAAAAGCACGAGAAGAATTTGTGAGCTTGAGCACATAACAATGTGTTGTCAGTCTGCTGGCTGGTTTCACTGTCTGTTTTCGTTGCTTGTCATGTACTTGTGTTTAGCCCTCGAAGTGCCATTGAGCGGGAATCAGTGTGTCATAACTCAGCTAGATCTCTACGGATCTTTACAAAATTTGGCTCTGTAGAAAGATATCAAGGCCAGGTAGTCAACTAGAAAGCGAAGATGCAGCGAAAATTGTCTTCTTCGCGAGGATGTCTGATCGAAGTTTGTGCTCTGCATTTTCGTAGCATTTGCGCTTTCCCACGCGCTCGATCGAGCGCAGCACAGTCAACTTTCAGCGCGGATAAAGTTGACCTGAAAGCCACTCAGAATCTCGATGTTTCGATTGCCGTGAAAAAAATAGATAACATCGATGCTCATACTTCATGTTTTCTACTCGCGACAATTGTTTGTTCGAGTGGCGCACTTCAGGCTTCGCCCTGGCGACATCTATATTCTTTCACACAAAACGATGTGATGAGTCGATAGCCAAGGTCTTCCTGAACGCGTAGACTGGTCCTTTGTAACTATCCTGTGTTTTAGAGGCGGAGATACGAATATATTTGTACACACATAATCATTCTGGTCGCCTCAAGTCGCCCTTAGCAGTACAAGAGACCCAGTGCAGTATAACACTTTCAATGTTGTCACTCCTCAAGTCACCCTTAGCAGTACAAGAGACCCAGTACAGTATAACACTTTCAATGTTGTCACTCCTCAAGTCACCCTTAGCAGTACAAGAGACCCAGTACAGTATAACACTTTCAATGTTGTCACTCCTCAAGTCACCCTTAGCAGTACAAGAGACCCAGTACAGTATAACACTTTCAATGTTGTCACGTGGTTATCAGGAGCGTTGCTGTTGTTTTAATCAGGCACGCGGGTTTTTTGTTCTGTTTTCAGAAATAGGTTGTGTGCTTAGTTTGAGACATCTGTATTGTTAGTTTGTGAAGCGGAGGAAACGTTGTTGGCGCAGGCAAAGCTTTGAAATGTGGTGTGATGTGTTTCTTGACGTCTAATGTGTGTGTGGGTGTGGGTTTGCGTGTGTGTATGCGTGTGTGTGTGTGTGTGTGTGTGTGGGTGTGTGTGTGTGTGTGTGTGTGTGTGCAGCATTATAGTCATAATGCAGATTGATGGGTGCACGCGGCTGCTTCCTGCTGCCACTATGCTGCTACGATTGCTAGCGCTTGTACTGCATGCTGATGCTTTGCTGCTGGCTACAGTCACGTGCACTGTTCATCATGGTAACCATTTCGGACAAACGTCTTGGTGTATGCTCCCATGGTACTCTATGCGTTGTGGCATTCTACGTGTCATTCAACATAACACTCAACGTGGCATTCCTTCATGCACGACGCTTAACGTAGGCGGCATGCATCGTGGCATGCTAAAGTTGGCCTAGTTATATATTTCGATCCGTTCTGTGTGTGGATCACTCTTGTCAGATCGTTGTGTTTCACCCACCCACCTCCCTTCTCTCATCTCTTATTTGCTTCTGATAAAGAAAACAAACGGGTGTTGGCCATTTCCGGCTACTCAGGGCTCTCTGTCTTTGTCCCTCAGACGTCACTATCGTCTTGGCTCCGCCAAGATCCTGCTCTCTCCGTAGCCTCTCACTGGCCAGCACCCTCCAAACCGCAAGCTGTTGTGTGTTGTAGTTAATGTGTGTGTGTGTGTGTGTTCGCGTGTGTTCATGAACGTGTATCTGTGTGTACGTGTGTTGTGTTCGCATGTGTGTATGCACGTGTATAAGTGTGCGTGTATGTGTGTTTGTGAGGGTGCTTTCGCGCGCGCGCGTGCACATGCGTGTGTGTGATGTGTGACGTGTGAAGTAGTTCAATCAACTGCGTGAAGTAGAACAGGCAAAAATTAGTGGCGGTCAATTCATCAGCTTTGTAAGCTGGTTTATGGTGGAATCGCAGAACACGTTCCTATGTCCAACATAGTTTTTTCGCTGTCGTCGCTTCAGATTTGGGCATGTGTGCATGTTTATGTGTGTGTGTGTGTTTGTGTGTGTGCATGTGTGTGTTTGTGTGTATGTGTTGTGTGTGTGCAGGTGTGTGTTTGGGTGTGTGCATGTGTGTGTGTGGGGATGTGTTGTGTGTGTGTTTGTGTGTATGTGTTGTTTGGGTGGGTGGGTTTATTATTATTCTTTATTTCCACGATGGCCCATGGCCAATAAGGAAGATAATATGATTCAAATCAGTCCAGAATCATATAAAATCAGTCTAGCAAGTAAGGAAACCAACACTGTATGTACCAGTGTATTTTTTGATGGGTGTATGTGAGTGTGTGTATTTGTGTGAATGTCAGTGTGTGTGTGAGTGTGTGTGTGTGTGTGTATGTGTGTGTGTGTGTGTGTGTGTGTGTGTGTGTGTGTGTGTGTGTGTGTGTGTGTGTGTGTGTGTGTGTGTGTGCATGTCTGTGTGCATGTCTGTGTGCATGTCTGTGTGCAGATCTGCATATATTTGCCTCCATTCATGAATTCCCCCTGCATTTGTGTTTGCTGTTCTCTGTAGTGCCACAAGGTTTCTTCACCACTGTTGTGGTTTGGCTGTATTCAAGGACTCAAAGATGGCGACAATGAACAATCGTTCGGGTAGGTCCATTTTGGCTTCTATCAATGTGTAGAGCTGTGTAGGTTGAATACAAAGTTGAACGTATCCTTACCAAGTTACTAGCCATGCCTGGGTCATGACAAAGCTGACTTTTTGATCTACTTTGATCCAGCTCCATGGGTTCATTTATGTTTGTGGGCCTTACCTCTCTGGCACTGGTCAACATTCCTCTGGTCTGGTATCCATACCTGGAACAGAAACTGTAACACATGCATGCAACACACAGCCTACTCAAAGGCGTACTGGTCTGCTTCATATCATTTCGATGGGGCAGACAAGTGTCAAATTTGGAAGGGGAAATTCCCAGTTCACATTCCACTTGGTTTCTTTACTTGAACATAGACCAGAACAAGTTTTTTTACGAGATCTGGAAGAGAGTTGCTGTGATCTGTGGCACCAGCGTTCCCGTAAGGGGAAGCAGAGCTTGATTCAGGCGAAAGATGATATTAGCATTGTATATGTATGTCATAAGATAGCACCTGGTATTGATTAAGTCAGCGAGAGTCACACTGCCCATGCGGTTTGGAGCACTGATGACGTCATTCTGCTCACACATTATATTTCATCAAAAGAATTGATGAAATCATTCTGTAGGTCAATACTGAAAATATATTTGTTTGAAAACATTGATGTATGTCAAAGTTAGTGCAGGAATTCTGCATGTCTTGGGTACACCCACTAGATCTGGCTGCAATAGTGAGGTGCGTATTGTTAACGGGGAAGTTAAGGCAAAAATTAAAATCTCACCAGTTGTAGTCTTCGGGGTGCTGAGTCGAATAGTCTTGGTCCGAGAAAGCTGAGACGCTCCCTTCCTACTTGAATCCCAATTGAACTCACGTACTTGCACCGAAACTGGGTGACTGCGCCCTACTAGATGGAGATTTGTAGGCAAAATGTCACTAAAAGCGCCAGTTCCTTCTAATAAATGCATGGATGACCGCGATTGGCCCACATATTGTAGTCTTTTGGACGCTGAGTCGACTGGTTTTGGTCCGAAAAGGCTGCGATGCAGCGTTCCTCCTTTATTCCCAATCGAACATGGTTGAACAAGTGGTCAAGTGCTCCTGGGTGCCCAAATCACCAGGTCACCACGCCAACAGGCAACAACTTTCACACCAAGGTTCAACTCGAGTTCAACTCGAGTGACAGGACTGCACCCAAAAAAGGTCAAACAGGCTAGTAAGTTGTACCCTGCAGGCACGGTGACCAGATGACTGGTGTACGCAGGATCACATGACCGCTTGCTCAACCATGTTCGATTGGGAATAAAGGAGGAACGCTGCATCGCAGCCGTTTAGGACCAAAACCAGTCGACTCAGCGTCCAAAAGACTACAACATATGGGCCAATCGCGGTCATCCGTGCTTTTATAAGAACGAAATGGCGCTTTTAGTGACATTTTGCGTACGTATCCCCATCTAGTAGGGCGCAGGTACCCAGTTTCGGTGCAAGTGCGCGAGTTCGATTGGGATTCAAGTAGGAAGGGAGGGTCTCAGCTTTCTCGGACCAAGACCATTCGACTCCGCACCCCGAAGACTAAAACTGGTGAAATTTTGATTTTTGCCTTAACTTCCCCTTTAAAGGGGAACTGTCACCAAAAATTTCTTTGTCTTAGGGGTCGTCGCAAAAGTTTTCTGTCGTCCCTGAAACGAACATCGTTCATTTCGTACTCGGACCCCCTCCCCCCCCCCCCCCCCCCTTCCCCTGAAACGAACACAGCTTGCTATGCTGGATGACGAAAATCTCATGCATGTGCATGTCATATGTACAGTGTCAGTCGACTTGCGATTTCGACTCGCACCCCCCCCCCCCCTCCCCCCAAATGAATCATGTTCGTTCAGGACGACAACAAAATTTTGCGACGACCCCTTATCTTGTAGTTCTTTGGCTCCTGATCACGATGGTGTTATCCGTTTTCTCTGCGATGGCTTGAAGTGGGTGAAAACTTGAAAAGAAGGTGCCCAAAATTGTCCCAAAGTACCGAGTGACATCACGCCGGACTTGACCTCCACGCGTACATTCGTCGTCAAAAACGAAGTCCAGCCCGTGTGCTGGTCGATCGAGCTAGCTGTTCCAATGTACGGTGCATGTGTGCTTTTTGAACTGTAACACGGATGGGTACGTCGTACCGAAGGAGAATGCCAAAGAGGCAGAGACCCACGTGCAGCTACACAGCCAAATCAAAAAATAAAATGCAGCTGAGCTTTCACCTTTTTGACTTCTTCCGTGAGGATCTAAGTTTTATTCTGTGAGCATGGAAGTACGTCGTTGTTTTGAACTTTTCGTGTGAGGAACAACACAATGATGAGTCTGTATGCAGAAAACAGTACTCCTCCGGCCGGCGATAACATCACCAACCCGAGCCCCAAAGGAACGCAATGTAGGTACGTGAAGGCGATTCATCTGGCAATGTTGCTGAAGATGCAGATGACAAACTCCGACGTCTTTCATTTCAGAGCCGGGTGGGTAACACCGCTACCTTTAGCTTCAATACAACATCATTTTCAAGCACCAGGTATGTGTGTCACACTAACAGCAAACAAACATCCTTCCACTCCTTTGTAATCACAAATAAAACAAAGAGCTGGAGCTTCGTGGAGGAAGAAGACTACCAGTGCGACAAACTGCTGTCGACTTTTTGTTTATTTTGTCCCTTTTTGGCATTCTCATTGTGTACAACGTACACATCGAGTGTCCGAGTCCAGAAGGCAAGCGTGCACCGTACATCGAACAGTTGGCTCGATCGACCAGCATACGGGCTGGACTTCGTTTTTGACGATGAATGTACGCGTGGAGGGCAAGTCCGGCGTGACGTCACTCGGTACTTTGGGACAATTTTGGGAACCTTCTTCTCAAGTTTTCACCCACTTCCAGTCATTGCAGAGAAAAACGAATAACATCATCGTGATCAGGAGCCAAAGAACTACAAGGTAAGACAAAGAATTTTGTTGTGACAGTTCCCCTTTAAAGGGTATTTGTGCGTTTGTGTGTGTGTGTGTGTGTGTGTGTGTGTGTGTGTGTGCACGTGCACACATGTGTGTGTGTGTGTGCACGTGCACGCGTGTGTGTGCGCGAGTATGTGCGTGTGTGTGTGTGTGTATGTGTGAGTATGTGCGTGTGTATGTGCGAGTTGTTTGTTCCTTATTTCCCGGTCGTGAACATGCGGTCTGTTCACAGGATTTTTGATTCTCGTTGCTGCCCTTATCGCCTGTGTTCCATATTGCAATGGTAAGTTTCTGCACCTCATGGCATTGTTGAATTTTTCAGGCGCTAGTACGCCAAACACTGCAAAATGGGCACATCTACTCACTATGACAAGACAATTGAACCGACAATCTTTGTCACTACACATTACAAGCATGTTCTTCACTGAACGGCTAGAATTTCACTAGCAGTTAAACTATACAGAAGTGGAAAACAATTGAGCACATCAGCCGCTCAGATCGGGTCTGCCTCAGACAATTTTAGGGAATTAGGCACGGATTCCAGCAAAAAAAGTAAATCATTATGTCCATTCTCGAAGGGAACTCACGATGGCCGCTAAAACCCGTTAACCCTAGCGGCAGATGCACTGACTAACAGTGCTTTTACACACCAGACAGTGCCAGAAATCCCGTGACATCTATATACTTCATCCCGCGAATGGGGGCATTTTCAATGACGTCTATAGACGTCATCAGCGTTCAATGGGTTAAGTCATCTAAGCACGCACTGTACAGTCAGGCGGATAGGCGTTATAACACTCAAGGATGAACCGCGCAGGAAGATTCCAATCACTCAAAAGAGTACACACCAGTGCATCAGAGTACATGGGAGTTCCAAACCCTCGGGAGGGGTGGCGGTGGGCTATTCTGTAGGTCATGCCAGTCATCGTTGATGTAATGTCAGGGGCATCGGAATCGGTGCGGCCAAATCGGCACCAATGATTTCAGAAATGGACATTCTGAAAATCGCTTCTACGAGTTTTTGCACGCCTAAAAAGTATAGGGGTATCCCACACCTGCATAAGACTACATGTCTGTACAGGACTACAGCTTGTGCCACAGTCAATGCTCTCTATTATAGCCAGACCAACCATAAATTTATAGAAAATAGAAAGGACCAAGGAACTACAAGTTACGCTATAAGGCCATGGTAAAAATTATTGACAATTTTTTAATTTCTATGCATGCATATGCGTGCATGAAAACGGTCAATGTGAAAGGCATGAATCAGGGAGTAGTAAAATACCGATATTTTCTACTGCCTGGTCTGAATAACAAACAGATGACCATGTACATATGTTTGACCCTATCTCTGGAATTAAAAAAAATTGTGGGAATAAAAAAAATCGCTCACTCGCACCGATTTTCACAGGCTCATGACCTGAGAATCAACTTTATTTTTTACCATGGCCTAATGTTCACTAACACCACCAGTTCCCAAACAATCAGCTCATGCGATAACACTGCACGGCACTGACCGACAGTACGGACATTCTTCAACTAACTGGCTAACATCTCTAGCACATCTTGGATGCGCATTCCAACAGCCTTCCAACTTGTAAAGGTTCTAAGTTATAGAAATAACATAAGGAGGGGAAGGTGAGCGCAACCAAGATAAGCACGAGCTGAAAGTCTCAGTTGTGAAGGACTTGTGTTCATGCATGTCGATGACGATACTGGCAAGACCATTGGACAATACCGTCTAACCACGATTCAAGGACTGAAAGGAATATCCCACACACTTTGTGTGGCTCAAAAGATGCGAAGATAAGTTAGAACCTTCCAAGTTGGAAGGCTGTTGGGGTGCAAATCCAAGAAGTGCTAGAGCTGTTAGCCAGTTAGTTGTAGAACATCAGCACCGTCGGTCAGTGTCGTGCAATGATATCGCATGCGCTGATTGGTGGTGTTTGTGGACATTATAGCATAAATTGTAGTTTCGGGGTCCTTTTCATTTTCTGTAAATTTATCCTTGGCTCTCCATCCGAGTCCAACAATAAAATTTATATTCTTCTCCAAAGTGCTAATTCTGGTCAATCATATTCTTCTACCAGAGGAGGACCCCCCCCCCCCCTTCTGCGTGTCCGCACCAATGTTCAATACCTCCAGCGCCCTGTATGAACCTGATTGCGATACTATATTTGGTTTGTCCTGTGACACATTGACATTTAGGACAGACAGGAGAGTGTCAGCGTGTTTCTGCACACTGCAACGGGTTGGCTGCTTACAGGAAGAGAATTTCCTGCCGCCTAGGCACACCTGTTGCGAGTTCTGCATGTGTTCGTCCATGTGTGCACAGTGACTACAGCGAGAAGAAAAATGGCAATTTGTTTTAACGCACGGGTTTTGGACTGCGTGCACGGATTCTCATGAGATTTTTTCCATGTACTTCGTAAATATTTACCAACGAGAAATTTAACTGAGCTAGTTGATCAGTAACAGGGAACAGAGCTAGAAACACCAGAACTCTTGAGGAAATATGGAACACAACGTACAGGAGAGCGATTCATGGCCTGGGACTTGGCTGGCTCGAACGCAATTCCCCAGCCGGTTCCCCAATTCCCAAGGGCATCGAGGGCATTTTGCTGCTGGGCTTTGTGGATCGCACCTGGGTGGGAGACTCGATCAAACGCGCCAGCAATGTCTACAGCAACAACTCGCACAGCTCCGCTCCCTGCAGCCACGGTACTCCAACGATGGTGTAGTAGGGTAAGGAGGTCCTGCATTCCCAGGCCAGAGCCGAAGCCGTGCTGGTCAGTGGTGAGGATGTGCTGGCGCTCAAAGAATCCCATAAAGCTACAATTGATGATAGCTTCCATGGCCTTTGACAGTATTGGCAGCAGGGATATGGGCCTTTAGTTCTTTGTTGCGGACTTCGAACCCTTCTTGTGTACAGGTACTACTGAGGCAAGCTTCCACAGTGACGGCTGCCGGCCTTGGCGGAATGCTTTGCTGAAAAGCTGGGCCACAGGCCTGCACAGTTCCTCACAGCACTGCTTCAACACTTGTCCTGGTACACCATCCGAGCCAGTGGCTTTGGACAGGACAATCTTCCTCAGTTCACGGCATACCGTCCGTGGCCTAAAGTGGATGGTACTCAGACAAGAATCAGACCGCGGGCGGATATACGAGAGGTTGCTGGCATCAAGGTCATCACCAAGGCTGCACTTCGCTGAAAAGTAGCGGGCAAAGCTCCTGTGCTTTGTCCTTACTGGTTGCGAGCTGCGCTTAACCGCACATATCGGTTTTCCCCAAAAATATCCGGATTGGCGATGGAACCGGATAATGGAACACACATACTGTATGTGTGCATAACACATGCTGTAAATCGGTCACCAACAATTATTTACTTCCAGATGGCGAGGGGTGGCGAGGGATCCGGATAAAAGAGGACCGGGTGAGTGAAGCCTGGCTGTAGTAGTAAGGAAAACGGCGGGGCGCAATTTATGCGTTAGAGTCCACCAACTAAACCAGGTTTTGAAGAGTCAAGTGTTCACAAGGTAGGTACTTGTGCCTGATCATTTTCCTTGTTTCAATTTAATATTTCCCTCGGCTCACCATCTGACTACTAAATGTACTTCCTCCGTTAACAAAAACTTCGTGATGGATTTTGATGGATATGAAAACGCTTAGAACAGGTCAAGAACAGTTTGTATCGACTGCAAATCACTGGACGAAGGTGATTCAGCTTATGTACAGCGTCTTTACAAGAGAAACTGTTGGCGGAATGAGCAGAGAGTTCAGTTTGCGTCGCTTTCGCTTGACTCATTTTTGACCCTGCGTCGCTGTCGTCATCTGCTGCACGCGAGTCGTCATCTCTCTCGAATCGTTGTTCAGCTCGTTTCAGCCTTGGCTCGGCTTCTTTGATCACACTCCGCTGACCTTGATGTCACGGTCGTTGAAGTAAGTTGGCTTTCAAGCTGCGTGATCCGCCGCGATGGCGATTCCTCGTTTCCACCAGGGAGTCGTAAAAATATTTTACGACTCCCTGGTTTCATCTTCGCTCTCCAGAACTCCGCGAAACGAGGAGTAAAGGCACAGCCAAACCGATTCAATATTCTCTGATGGATACCCCTGCCAGCACTGAACGGCAGCGGCTAGCAAGTCCAGTCGACTTTCTTTAGCCACGAGACTTGCATCGGACTGCAGACTTCTGAAAGAATACATGGTCATCAGCATTCGAATCTGGGCTTTGCGCAGGTTGAACAAGAACTTGAGTTCAGAATTATTTTCATTGAGCCGTGCGATCGGAGCAGCTCCTTGTTCACTCGCTCATTGTGTGGACTCGCTGCTCCGTTTGATCACTCTTTATCACTATCCAAATTACTCAGTGCTAGAGTAGTAGAGAGACTTAGCAACGCAATATCCCCTCGGAGAAGTGGTATTTCAGTTTCGCTCGCCATAACTGTCATCACCTATGTTTCCACAGCGCAACCATCGATTCCGCTCGGCTTGTTGTGAAAGGTCGCTTTCCTTGAATCGTACCTCTTTCATGGCCCGCCAGGGAAGACCAAGAAAGTGATTGCGACTCATTTCACGGCAGTTTGTGCGCAAACCAGCCCCTCAAAATCCATCACGAAGTTTTTGTTAACGGAGGAAGTAGTAGCCTTAGGATTTATTGCAATTGGATACCAGGATGTAATTGCAATTAATCCTTTGGCTCACATAAGTAACGCAAATTTAATCTCTGATGATGAACCAATGATTAAACCAGATCAGGAGCAGCTAGAAAGTGCTACAGCTAATAGGAAAGACAAGGAATTCCACGACAAGCGACACTCAGCTAGAGCGGATCTCCCAAAAAACAATCTCTCAGCTTCTCTTTGCATACTTGGAGATGTGCTTTAGCTAAGTGTGAGTCCAGGGGATACCTGAGGACTCCCTGTCAGATTTGTGCTTAGTTAATGCGGCTTCCAATTGTTCAGAACCTTGTTCAGTTTATGGACTTCCGATGGGTTTGTTTCAGTTTCTCCTTTATAACAATTTGACAAATGTATACTCCTGTATCTTTTCAGCTACCTGTTTACCGCTGGGAACCTATCGTGGATATCAATACACTGGTGCATATTCCTCAGACATTGGAACTGTACTTGGTGTGTCATGTCGTACCGGCTATACTAGTAAGGATAGCATTAACTCAATAACATGCCAGGCAAATGGAGCATGGACACCTCTTCCTGTATGTTCTGGAGGTACGTACCACATGACCATTACCAGATATTTAAGGTGGCTCGCGCCTATTTCTAAACTCGTCTTCTGCGCAGGTTCTTGCGCATCCTACGTTCGAGAAAAGTGCATGCGGAGTTGGCGTAGCGAGCTGGTAGCGCACTCCAGTTTCGAAGGGTCCAGCTCGAGCATATGGCCTGAGTACGAAACTCTCGTACTCGAGTATAGAGTGTGAGCTTTTTTCTTCTTTTTTTCACTCCTTCACTTGGCTACTTTTTGTTAGGTGCATTTTTTACTTGTGGAAATTGTTACCTGTCAGAGAAGTGTTGGAATGTCCCTTCCAGCAGGCACTGCCCATGCCCATGGTCGGCTTCGGAAAAAGAGTAGAATAAAGGCGTTGGAGTCTATGTGGATGTCTTGGAAGGAATGGGGGACGGCACAGACGGGTACGTGAATGTGTAAAACCTGAGTATTTTGTATTTTCGTTGAATTGGTTCAAGTGACTTGGCGAGTCCCTTCCACAGTAGAACGCCATCCTTCACAAAATTTGTCTGACTATTTTGTCAAGAATGGCCGTTCTATAATGATCAATCGACTCTGAAGCCAGTGGATTGTGGAGGTCGCCCTTGCATATAGATTGAAATGGTCACGAACGAACGAAAGTATTTTTGATTCGAACATGTACTGGACAACGTGGTTGCATTGTGTCAGTAGAGGGTACTACTGTAGTATCTCATCATTTCTTTATGGTAATCGCTGTCCACCAAGAACTCTACTATAGTTATTGCCACGGCTTGATCACAGCGGTACACTGAGTTTTTGTTGAGAAATTCCTTCAATTTATTCACTCAGTGCTCGAGCGTTTTATTTAGGATGCATTTTTTAGAGATTGATATTTACCAGTATGTGTTTCACATCACTCCTGACGAGAATAAGCATTTGAAAGCAACACTGGCTGACAGCAATCATGCATTCTAAATCATCGAAAATGCCAAAACCTATTTCTACGTGTGCAGAAGAAGATTGAACACATTCTTTCCTTGCATCTGTGCCTTGATCCTTGAAGGATGACGGTGTTCCTACGGATGCGGAAAACTCGGCCTCTAGCCGAGTCTGACGCGAACCGTGAATTTTTCCCTTGACATTGGTTGATGGCATCAGTCACATCTAAGAGTGACACTCTATCTCAAACATATTTACGCAAAGAAGTAGTAATCTTATCTTCATTGGAGCGATGGTCTGCAGGCGTGCGATCATGTGTGGGCCTTGTGTATGTGCGCGTGTGTGTTTAGTCACTGTTTACGCGCACGTTTGTGAATGTGCGTGTGTGTGTGTGTGTGTGTCTGGCCTGGTATGGGGTTGCTCAGGATAGTTCTGCATGGCGGGTGGACGGTACTGTCTTATCTGCCATCGGTCGTTTCGCCAGCCAGGTGACAAACAAGGCACACATGTGGCGCAGAGCGAAGTCTCCCCATCCAGGATCAGCGTCGTGCTGTGCAGTGTGGTACATGCAGAAGGTGGTTTTGTAGCATGGCTACTTTATGACACGTAATTTGTGTACACATAAATAGTACACCGTAGGAATGCATGGATAGCAGTGCGCATACTCGCACTGCCTTGTCTTCTTCTTCTCCTTGTGAGACAATGAACGAATGATAACTACTTACGTAACAACAAGTATGATTGTGCTTTGAGTGCTGAGAGTATACGAGTTACAATGGTGGCAGCGGAAAAATAGTCGTCGGTTTTGTCCACGGCTGGGAAGACGCCTCCGCAGGAGAGACAAGTTGCAGAGTCGACAAGTTCCAGAGAGTCTGAGACCAGTTCCAGCTACTCGGGAGACCAGCCCACAGACTAAGTTCTAATTTACTAGTATTGATCATTCTAGCCTTCGTCTCGTTTTCCATTCTTTACTCCTTGACTGATCGTTCGCTGTACGTGCATGAGTAACAGTTTTGTTTGGTGTAGAAAGGGCTACATTTTCACAAAAATATTTTGCGCACGTGAGTGTGCGTGCATACTTAGCAAGTACACTGTTGACGTCATGTCCTGTGCACTTGTCGTGTACGTCCGTGTGACGTAACCAGAATGTTTTGTGTAGGTCAATTTTTTGTAACATTTTTCAAAAGGTTTTTTGAACTACAAATGTTTGTAGCTTGGGCCATTGCTAGTGAGATATCGAGATGGGCAAGTCCAAAGGCAAAAAGAAGACCAGGTCCCCTCGACCTCGTCCGTTCAAGATACCGTCTGACGAACATGCCAGTGCATCAGAGTTGCACCAGTCTAATGACACCGGAGTGCGTGATCAACTAGCTCAGGCGCTCGAGAAACTTGATCGCAGGTTGACCGACCTCGAAAAGAGACTGAGCTGTTTGGAAATTGTTGCTCCACGCACACAGGTTCCTGTAGGAGCAAGTTTCGAATTTGATCAGCCTCATAGTAGTAACAGTGGTCGTGGACATTCGTATGGTCGTGGTGGTCAGGTGGAACCACCGATTTGTTGTTGTTGTGGACAACCTGGCCATTTTGCTCTAGATTGCCCACACAACCCTTGGCGCTCGGGAAACTGAGTACGACTGGTGGTGTGGGACAACTCCCAGTCGTTCACGAGGAGCCATCAGATGCAGTACGTATCGAGGCTGTGTCGTAAGTCCCTACGCTAGATCTCCATGTTCAAGGCAAGTGTGTAACGGCGTTAATTGACTCTGGTTCCTGTGTTTCTATGTTGCATGAGCAAACATTTTTGTCCACGTATGGTGATGTGCCCTTGCAAGCTGCTCCCCGTTTGTGTGCGGCTAATGGTGAGGGACTCCAGGTTCTGGGTGCTGTGGATATTGTATGCTGCATTGGAGAGCGTTCATTCTTGCATACATTTGTAGTGTCTCCTGATATCCGCCGTGATATGATATTGGGATCTGATTTCTTGTTTGACCATGGAGCATTATTGAACATTGCTCAAGGCACACTAACTTTTAATGATCTGTCAGTCCTGCTAGGCGTGAAAGCTACTAGTGTTGGTCCATCAGAGCCCCGTCCGGTTGTTGCGGCGGACGCTGAACCGCTATCTGACTCTTGGAGTAATGATAGTAATTCTGAGGAAGACCCGGGCACGTACTATTCCCGTGTCACTGTTTGTAGTAAATTAACTCTGCCTGCCGGCCATGTCGTGCTGGGCCCGTGCAAGTCAGTGCAAGAGGCATCTGTCACTGTGGATTGTGTTGCTGTTCCACTGGACTCATTCTTGTTAAAGTTTCCAGATGTGTCTGTGACCCCCAGTGTGGTTACGGTTGGACCTGGCAGGTCCGGTGCGGTAGTTGTGTTGGAGAATCACTCTGACTACCCAGTACAAATTGCTACAGATGTTGATATTGCAGAATTATCTCTTGTACCCGATAACTTGATTGGAGAGGATGATGATCCTGCTGATTCATCTGTTGCGGATATGCAACCGTTTGTGCTATCCCCTGAACGTGCCGAGATAGTCCGTACGTATGTTGAGTCTCGGAATCATCTGGCAGTACCTGAAAAGAACAGACTTACAGAGCTTCTCCGTGAGAATCATGACTTGTTTCTCTTGCAGGAGGGTGATTTTGGTCCTTGTGATGTTTTGCCACATAGTAGTAGTACTGGTGATATACAGCCAGTTAAGCAGCCTACGCGCGCTTTGCAAGCTTTGCTGGATGGTCTGTTGTCCCGTGGTATACTCACCGAGTCCATTAGACCCTGGGCGCCCATAGTTCTTGTTCCTATGAAGGACGGATCTCTCCGGTTATGTATCGACTACCGCAAGTTGAACAGCATTGCGGAGCCAGATGCGTATCCTATACCACGTGTTGACGCCATATTGGACTCACTCTCTGGCTGTTCATGGTTCACTTGCCTGGATTTAGCGTCAGGATATTGGCAGGTTCCTAAGCATGAGGACGATACGGCAAAGACTGCCGTTACGACACCGTTGGGTTTGTGTGATTTCTTGGTTATGTCTGGCTGTAGAAATGGTCCAGCGACGTTCCACCGTGTAATGGAAGCGGTGCTTCATGGTTTATGTAGTGTGCCTAACCAACCATTCTGTCAAGTGTTTTTCAACAGTGTATTGAATGCCAGCTCTACCTTCACTGGACAGCTCCAGATCCTGCAGTCTGTATTTGGCCGGGTTCGTGCTGCTGGACTAAAGGTAAACTTGGAAAAATGTTCTTTTTTCCAACGGAAGGTGCTCTTCCTTGGCCATGAAGTTTCGGCTGAAGGTTTGGCTCCGGATCCCACCAGGGTTGAGGCTATTGTGAAGTGGGCCGTACCCCAGTCTGTACGAGGTGTACAGGTGTTTCTGGAGTACGCCGGGTTTTACCGCCGCTTCATTCGTGGTTTTGCTCAGCGCTCCGCTCCACTGAATGTATTAGCAGGCAAGGGTGCCAGCTTTACATGGACTAAGAGTTGTGATGCGGCGTTGACGTCTATGAAGCGGTCACTGACCACAGTCCCCGTGTTGGCGTATGCCGACTTTTCTGTTTCGTCTGGTGGCTTTATTTTGGACACTGACGCAAGCAAGGTGGCCATTGGAGCTGTCCTCAGCCAAATGCAAGATGGCGAGGAACGCCCCATTGCGTTCGGCAGCCGGGTCTTGACGAAGGCAGAGAGGAATTATGATGCCTCAGACCGGGAAACGCTTGCCCTTGTCCATTTCGCGAATCAGTTCCGGCACTATTTGCTTGGTCGGCATTTTATTGCCCGCACATATAACACTGTCCTCACCGCACTGATGTCCGTGAAGGAACCACGCGGTCGAAAAGCTCGATGGGTGGAGCAACTCGCTGAGTACACCTTCACTACTGTTCACCGACCGGGTCGGCAGTACTACTTGAATGCAGATGGTCTGTTGCGTTCCTTGTTGCCGGAGGTGCAACCCTCCCATCTCGAGACTCCCGCAAATCAGCCAGAGCAAGCTAGTTCCTCTGCCACAACTGCGTCTGTGGATGTCGCCACTTCTGTACTTGCTGGTCTCTCCGCAACTGAGTTGGCTGCTGCCAAA